CGATCTCCCCAAAACCCCAAAACCCCAAAACCCCATACAAAGAGTAAGAGTTACATTGAAAATGTTGAAATCTACACAATGAAAATAAGTATATTAGTTATTTAGACATCAAGATTGGCATCATTTATCTCATTTACACAATAATTCACTATGCTTCCTAATGCATGGCATCCTAGAAGTCCATGAACAGCTTTGCACTGTCTTCTTTAAGTGTCACCTTCCTCTTAATTAGATAGTCTATTTGTTTGGCAGAAGTCTTGACCTATATCTGCAGTTTCTCCTTTTCTTTTCTCACATCATTTATCTGTTTCTTGTAGTTCAGCACCATCTACTGTACCGCTTCAAGTAAATCTCCCTCAGCTTGGAGTTCGATCTAGAAGCTTTACTATATATTCTTTGACTCCTCAACATCTTTCTCCAATTGCTTTACTTCCTTCCTTACTATGTTGATTTCTTTAGATGATTGCACATGTTTAGAGCCTTTGACTGTTACTAAACTTTAGAGCTTCTAGATATCTTGCCCAATTTAGAAATTGTTATCTTTGATGCCTTTAAGCATTTTCTAAGTTTGAACTACTTCTTTCTTAAGTTATGGAATCAATAGTGATAACTACTTCTTTTCAGATATTTTAGATGACAGCTGTTCATTCTTCTGATTAATTATGTCTGACTTATGTTTTAATCCTTTGCCAATCATCTCTGTTTTCTCTGTTTTATTCGTAGCAACTGATATATTGCCTGATCTCATGGTGCTTTCTCTGCCAAATGCTGAGGACACTCTATTGGATTCATTGCAAGTACTTAGCGCCGCAATTGAAATCTATGATACAGTAGATTACGACTTATTCTTGTTCTTTTGCTTGCCAGTCTTTGCATTCCTAATGCTAGTGGTGCTTTGATAGTTGTTGATGTTGGTATTACTGCAACTGTTGTAATTACTAGAATGCAGAGGATGAATTTATTTATTTGTTATTTAAGTGTCTTTGAGATAATTTAGAAAAGATTGGTGTGATTGAGCTGAAGAGCTGTTGTTTTAAGTACTCAAAGGTGCACCTTAGTTAGGTTGATAGATTTAATACTCCGATTTCTTGGTTATTACGAATCTCTCTGAACTCTTTGACATTTTCTAGTTTGCTTTCAATGATTTATTAGACTTATTGCTTTTGGTACTGCTAGCATTAATTATTTTCTCTATCATTTAAATAAAACTATTAAGAGCTTACCTCTGAGAGCAATATCTGTATCGAACTAATAATCCTGCGTAATGTTTATTCTTCTGTTGAAATTTGTGATATCAGATATAGTCTTAAAGTAGTTAGACACCCCAAATGGGCTTTGATTTTCCTGATTCTAAATTTTTTTGTTTGGAGTTTTCTTTGCTTTGTATGTTTAAGGAAAGTGCTTATTGCACTCGATTTATTCCATCCCACTTTCAATATCTCCGAAGGTATTGTTCTACTTCTCAGATATGTTTATGATATCGTCGCTATCATCGATGTAATGAGTGCCAGGGGCCATTCTAAGTTTCTCCTTGGAGTTTGATACATCCTGACTTACTTCAGGATCAAATTGTTAGATAGGTTAAGCCTCCATAACCACGCCTAATTCTGTTGATGTGCGGAGACCACCTATCTTTACAAATGATTTAGAGCTTCTAACACTTTATCAATTACTAAATTTGTTTATTTACATAATCTTTTTAGAAGTGACTGGTGCAGAGGTGTATTAGCCTGGGGAAGACTGATGAGTTGCATGCACTTAGTTATTTGATCGACTTCGTTGCATTTAAAAATAACAGATAATTTATAATTTATCAACCTCATTTAATAAAAATTAATTTAAGCAAGTTTGATTCTATTTTCATTAATATCTTTCCAAAAGGGGTTTTGGGGTTTTGGGGTTTTGGGGTTTTGGGG